TTTCAGGTAGAGGGGGGGTCCAATTAAAAAAAAAAAAAAAAATGATTTGCATTCCTCAACGCCTTGTGCGTTTAACTACCGTAATCACTAAACCAGACGGGATCGAATTTCTAGCGTTTTCATAAAATTAGTTATGGGGAGGGGTAATAAATATAAAAGAAATATTTCTGGCATGACTTTAATAAAAAAAAATAAAACAACATATTTATAATAATTTCTATCATCTGTGAATAATTTCTGAAAGTTTGATTAACATCCGACAATTATTTTTATTTTTGCAAGATTTTCCAGATTAATGTGTTACACAAAAAATACGTGCTAAAAATTGTATATGTTGTTTTACGAGTTCCGGTAATACAAAGAAAAAATCCTCTACTTCTCCCTTTTCGCATTGTGTCATAAAAAGCAAGACTTTGTAAATATTGATAATAATCTTTGTTTTTATTTATATATATATATATATATATATATATATATATATATATATATAGCGTCCTGGGTAAGACGATAAACTACATCCGCGTTCTGAGTAAACTACATCCGCGTCGTGAGTAAGTCGATTATTGAAACTTGACTAATGCATGGAATAATAATGCAATACAAAATGTACTTAGAACAAAATGTATTGAAACAAGAACGTGTACACACTATTTACATATAGTCTTTTGTATATTCCTGGTAAGACCGTTCCTGGAGAATGTGTTGACTGAGTCGCAGTCGGGCAGAGTCTCTGGTTGAATCTCTTGATTCCTTCCTCTCTTTCCGGTACCAACCATATTTATATGGTCGGTACTCCACTATGCAAATTAGGTGGATCCTACCACAACATCGATAAACTACATCTAACCGCAAGGCCTCTGATGAGGAGATTTTGAGCCGCGTGGATTCACGTCTTAATTGCTGGTGTTCCCAGGTCCACCCTGACCCGGGGTGGTAGTACCTGTTAGGCTCCTAGCTATGGGCAAATAGTTAACCCCCAAACTGAGTTCAAAGCACTATGAAAGTCTAAAAATAGTTCTTAATACCATCAATATATTTTTGCAAAAAATTAATACGAGCAATAAATTTTTTAAGAAAATAATTATTACCATCAATACATTTTTCGAAAAAAATATTACCAGCAATAAAAATCTTATCGGCATTTAATAAACCATTGAGGTTGATATATCGTAAAACAAATCAAACCAAACCAAACCTATATATATATATATATATATATATATATATATATATATATTATATACATGTTTCATTAAATAATATAGACAAGTGTTGTCTATTTATTTTATGTAAATTCTTTTCATAACGTCTGATAAGCTTAATAACATTATCATTAAACTAAGAAAGAAAATCACAATATTGATCCATATTTTTTAATCCAATCTAAGCTTTCGGCTTACATAAGCCATTATCAAAGATGTTAATTACTGTACAACATATACATGACAAGACAGTGATGATAGTCTGTTACTGTTTACATGGATGATTTCCAAGCAACGATAAACACGTGCATATAAGACGAAGCGAAAATCGCACCGCAGCTCATGACGTCACACACACACACACACACACACACATATATATATATATATATATATATATATGACTTGGGATCAAATACAAATCAATATGGATCGGAATTCAAACAAAGAATAGGATAAAGGACGAATAAGAAACGTTTATCAATTTAACATGTTTCCCTTTTATAAATTATTCATCAAAGAATGAGATATAGAGAAAAAGAAGAAAGGCATTCTGGTATCAGTTTTCCTATATAGCAGCGAATGCTGAACAATCTCCTCACAATATCTGTCTATATTTCTGAGATGAGGTATTATGTACACTATTTACATTATTTGGACTATTGTCCTCAAGGATACATAGCACAGTGGATAAAGGCGTTGTGTTAGATCCAGTGACAGGACTCAAAGAGTGTGAGTTCAATACCCGGTTAAGACAGTGGAGAACTTGGAGAGGGGAATTAACAGGAGATTACTGATAACTGACATCCATTAGACATGGCACGTGGAACTAGAACAGTCTACCCCAGCGAGCGTAATAAAGGGTTCAGTTCGACATTCCAGCCACCTGAAGATGGCAGGAGCGTACAACAGCCTAAACGTTGTAAATAAATATGGCGACAAAGATGAGAAAAACTTTTAAATCTCGAAGCAGAATTAATAAAGGGTTCAGTTCGACATTCCAACCACCTGAAGATGGCAGGAGCGTACAACGGCCGAAACGTTGTAATAAATATGGCGACAAAGATGAGGACAATAGTCCGAATAATGCAAATAGTAGAATCCCCTCACAATCTTCCACAGAAGAATGATGAGGATGCCATGGACCGAACATGTGAACAACGATGAAGTTTTAGAGAAAATGGAAACAAAGAAGGAACTTATACTTAACATCAGAAATATACAGTCGTAATTTCTAGGGTAAATAATGAGGAAACATGGATTGGTAAATCTGATGTTCACAGGATCGGCTTTGGGGTAAGAGGGATGACAGAAGAAACACTCATAACCTACTTAGCGAGCTTGAGAAAATGGAAAGCGGAAAAAGGTTTAGGAAAAATGACAAAGACAAAATCTATTAAGAAAGACAGGAGATTGGGGAGAGCTATGATCGCCTAAGTCCTGAAGAGACACAGCACATAGAAGAAGAAGCTACGTTAAATCGGCGGAAAAGCTATTGAAGCGGCAATTATTGAATCCATTACATTCACTTACGCGCTAATACCCTTGATAAATAGCAGGACAGACTGGGTTCTATAGCCTTTGATGGCAACTGATCTCGTAGAAGGACAACTCTGAATTCAAAACCTACAGGGGGGGTCTTTGGGGACCTTGTGGCACGTAGTGCACCAGGTCTCTGTATTCGCCCCTTCAAAAAGTGTGGATGGTTCTGCACAAAACCTTTACCACTATAATCAAATCTAATGTGCTGTCAGTTTCCTAGGAACTGATCTGCTTGACCCTCATACGTCGAATTCGACTGGAGAGTGGAGTATATATATATATATATATATATATATATATATATATATATATAACATTTTATTGATATTGGCGATTGTTTTAAATGTCTTTCTGTATATTGATTCCTATTATGCTTAGTATAATAGTAAACTGTGCTGTGGACGTACTAATACGCTTTTTATGTCATATAGCCTGCCTACTGTATATATATATATATATATATATATATATTTCAAGAAATTTTAAATTAAGTAACGCTTGGAACTATCTTGAAACCAGTATATAATATATAGTAGCATACCTTTTTTTACGTATTTTTATTATATTTTGTGTTAATTTTTTTTTTAGCTTAGTACCGCACAGCATTCGATAAAAAATTAAAATGGCAGCGCACAGGTAATTTGCTGCCAGCGTCTTTAGAGTTGTTTATTTCGATTAAATGGTAATTTCCTATTTTGCCCCAAATGGGACAGCACAGCCAGGCAACAATGCTATGACAATGCAACAGTGAAAGCGTTAATGAAATTGGAGTATTTTATTTGCAAACCCTTTTAATATGCCAATTTTTAAATTTTCTCTGATATGTTGATGAAGATATACCAGGAATGAGTATGTAATTGAAAAGAGGAAACCAATTCTGATATTGAAACAAAGAAAACCATCAAAAAACGAATTGCAGCCCAAAGCAGCCATTGTGCAAATAGCAACAATCACTGTCCTGTTCCATATTTGATATCCTGATTTGATGAACTGTTAACATTGTACAGTTTTACATTGTGCTGAGAAACAACGATAAAACTCAGAAAATAGGGAATCTTGTTTAAGTGTTAGCACTTACCAACAGGTCGGTGCTTAAAACGAGGAAAACCAGCTGTGGTCACATCAAATGATTCTATTGAGCAAACTTTTGTTGAAACAATAGCAAAATACAATAAAGCATCCATATTGCATTGTTCAAATTATAAATATCAATTCCATCTTTTACATCCTACTTAGGAGGCCATTGTTGTGGTATTTGCGAAAAGAAGGAATAAAAAAAAAACGTAAAGGTTATAAATAGTGTAACATTGAGTCACTTGAAATTGGTTTCAGCAGACGAGGAAACGCCGGAATTCGCCAAAAACAGTTCCATAAACACAAGATCCTTGTTGTGTTCAATGATACCCTTGTTTAAAAAATTAAAATTCAAAACTTTGTATTATTTAAAATATACAAAGCATCAATTAATCTCAATATAATTGCATTATAAAACAAATTCAAGAACGTTTTCTTCTTTTCGTTTATTAAACATTAAATTACATCACTCCGTAATTTACCTTGAGTTTCATTTGCTTTGAACTGTATTCATGAGGGTCCTTAAATTTTAAAATTCTAACAAACTAACCACATTTTACTTCTATTTGCAAAATAAAACCCCTTACATTTGCCTTCATAAAGCTAATCCAATACCTTTCTACATGTGTGTAGGTTGAGGATTCTAAGTTCAGTTATTATGAAAATTATACAAACCCCCAAATTGGGGTCAGTCCTGTGGGTCATATATGATTAGATAAGTATCACCACCGGAAATAGGATGAGGTGCGAGCGCTATATTGTGTCTAGTAACTTAATTTTCTCTTCACCACTGTGACTCGCTGGCCCAATGGTATGATGCTTGCGTCGTATTTTAACTGCCCGGGTTCGATTCACAAAGTTGGTAGAGGATGCTGACTGCTGATGAGTTCCAAACAGTATGAAATGGCCGTCCAGTGTTTTTTTCTGCATGTGTGTGTTGAGGATTCTAGGTATGGACATGAATAATTATTTATATCCTTGCATGGAATATTGCTGTCATATATGGTCTGGTGCTCCCAATGTACGTCTCGAGGTCCTTCACAAAATCCAGAGACGAATATGCAAGATGATAGATCCTGATCTGGCATCTAGTCTACAATCGCTATCCCACAGACACACTTTATTGAATGTATGCAAAGCTAACCCGAGATTAAATTATAACTTGCGAAGCCCATTAGTGGCTTACGGCCATATCACGTTGAAACACCAGTTCTAGTCAGATCACCGAAGTTAAGCAACGTCGAAACTGGTCAGTACCTAGATGGGTGACCACGTGGGATACCAGGTACTGTAATCTTGGATGTGCGGGTGGTGTAATGAATAACGGCTCGGGATGAGGAAACGGGGTCATTACATTACCTTACGCGCAAAAACCCTTGGGTGATCGAAAAGAGACATGATCGTTCAAGCGTGTCACATCCGCCCCCTACCAGCACGCATTGGGTCATCTCGGTAGAGTAATGACCCACTACTCCCCATGGATCTGGGGTGAGCCTAGGTCCCACACAGGACCTTTGTAGGCGGAGATAGCAATACATTAGTAAGACTGTATGAACGTAAATATCATTTTGAACATTAATTTCCAAGTATCTCCGTTAAATTTCCCTCGTGAGTCTATTTCCTCGTATTTCGGTCCACGGACGTAATATAAATAGAAAAGTGAAACCAATTCACAGAAGATAAAACTCGTCAGGGAAGAGAGAAGGATAAAAGGGTCCTCTATGTAGGACCAATACGAATGTCATTCCAATTTTCTAGCTTACGTCTACACCGTCATAAATTAAGTGAAGCCGCGACAAACAATTCTATAAACGGCTTTGCCCCCACCCCCGCAAAACCCTAACCCTAACCATAACCTTGTCCCCACCCCTCAAGAGAAGGTCCAGCCAAATCCTGCTATTTAGCCGATATATATGGTGAGGAAATAGATTTATATATTTCCCTAGGTTTTTTTTGTAATAAAGTGAATTGTCACGATATAGGCTGGTATATATATATATATATATATATATATATATATATATATTTTACATAATTCATCGAGTCTAGAAGAAACCTCAACAGAATGCAGAAAGAACTGGACGGCCGTTTCGTCCTATATTTGGGACTCATCAGCATGTGCATCCACTACCAAGAATTTAAACCCGAATAGTTACGATAGGAGGCAAATATACCATATATATATATATATATATATATATATATATATATATATATATATATATATCATAATTAAGTAATTCATCGAGTCTAGAAGAAACCTCAACAGAATGCAGAAAGAACTGGACGGCCGTTTCGTCCTATATTTGGGACTCATCAGCAGTGCGCATCCACTACCGAGAATTTAAACCCGAACAGTTACGATAGGAGACAAACGCCATACCAACTGTACCAACGGGCTCGGTGACGAACAGGTAACGAATTAAACTTGATATAGCGCCGCTCGATCACGTGTACTGGATTTAGTTTTATTCACTTTCATTGACGCTGTCACACATCGAGAAGGTCTGTATGAACATCATTTTCGTGGCACAAAATAAAACTGAAAATTATATTATGATGTAGGGTGAGAAGACTTTCGGACTACACCTTAACTCCAGTCAAGAATTGACAAACGTATTCCTCATGGAATTTTATACATTTTCTGTTAATTATTGTCGATAATTATTTTACTCGATTGTAAATACATAATGATTGTAGATATTGGTAGTATATAATGATTGTAGATATTGGTCGTATATAATGTTAATTATTCTCAAGTAATATCCTGAACCGATCTTTTTGTATCTCAGTTGGTCTATCCAATCATAATTCTTCGCAAATAACTGTTCGATCATTTCCATTATCTTCTCCACAACCTACACAAATCCTTCTTTTTATCGCTTTCTAGCTGCATTTTCAACTTAGAATAACAATGTTGCTTATTTTCTTTCTTATCCGATGTTAGAATCAATAAATAAAATACGCCAGTTCTAAATATGACAGCCGATATGACAGCTGTCAGTGTACAGTCAAAAGCAATTTTTTGAATTAAACTAGTTCAAATTAATTATTCCTAATGCCATCTGCCGGCGAGAACAGAAAGTTTTGGTCAACGTAATATTTGAACCAGTCGCTGGATCATGGTGTAATAGAAATCTGAAATTGTAGATAGTTGAGATCTCAAACATCACGGCGCGCCCCATGTCTTATGCAAAAACTAAGATGGGCTTAGTAAATAACAACCAAATATTTCGACAAAGAACTGCAGTTATTTTTATTATTTTTATTTTTCGAAGACTTCTTTCGAGAATGCTGTCATTGCTGCGATCTTGTGTGTACGTGTTAGTCACAGCCTCGAAGGCAATGACATGTTTGTAACCCGATTAGGTTTAAAGGACGGCTGCATATTTTTTTATTCTTGGCGACAGCTGTTTTCAGATGACGACAGCAACGTAGGAGAAAAAATAATTTGGCCACGACTTCAAGTACTGTAGTTTGCCTTTATCTTCCATCATGCTGTCGCCTTCTGAGCTGCTGACATTATTTTTTTAAGTAGGCGAGCAGAAAACCCCGGGATCTTTTCATTCTTTCTCTACATTTCTATATTGCGTAAATATCTACCGAATAACCTTGTAAAATAATACGCAATAGTAATGAAGCAGCTTATTCTTTTAATTTTCTTTTTTAATTCAAATCAACATTTAGAAGTGGAGAAATAAGAAATTATTCATTTGTAATGCGACATATATAAATATTTTTTGTTATTGTTGCAGACAATAATTGTGAATTAATTGCGAAAACTTGCTAAGCAACGCACATTTAAAGAAACGGATAAAAGAAAAGTCACTTATGAAATGTTCTCGTGATCAAAACAAATGAAAATATCTAAATGTTAAATAGCGTATATTTGTAGAAGAAGCTCCCATGTCATTTTAATTTTCGTAGAACGATGATATTTTAATATAGCATGCTCTTGTATTGTTACGCTGGTGAATAAAAACCTTTTCTATTTACCAAAACAGGACACTTTCAGTGTAATTTTTCGTCTACCCGACCAAATTTCTGACAAGAAACGTCTGCAGTGATGGTCCTTCTGTGTACCATCAGTTCGAGATGGACAACACTTCATTATCTGTCTATATTCTTGAGATGAGGTATTATGTACATTATTTACATTACTCGGACTATTGTCCTCATCTTTGTCGCCATGTCTGTCACAACGTTTCGGAGGGGAATTGACAGGAGTTAACTGACATCCATTAGACATGGCACGTGGAACTAGAACAGTCTACCCCAGTGAGCGAAATAAAGGGCTCAGTTCGACATTCCAATCACCTGAAGAAGGCCGGGGCGTAACTTTGTGATAGACATTGCGACAAAGATGAGGACAATAGTCCGAGTAATGTAAATAGTGAACACTTTTCATATTTCACTAGTCACATTGCAAGGACTTCTGTAGCTCGAGAGTTGGTACTGGAATTGGTTTTCTCATTCTGTTATAACCACTTTCTTTTTCTGTTGACATGCAAAACCCATTTTTCATCACCTGTAACAATTCGATGAAATAAATGAAAAGGCTGAGATTCATAATTAAAAGACTGCCACATATGCTGGAAAATTGTGTTCGGTTATCAAGCTCACGAGGAATCAGAATTCCTTCTTTGTGTGTTTTCTCAATTAAACTCTAAAATGCACTATCATCATCATCATCATCATCCTTCGACCTCCCGATTGTTGCTCGGAATTCCATTGACAATCCCTTTCTGTAATCGTTTTTGTTTGGAGGGAGATTGGTCTAAGTTCTCCGTAAATTGTGTTAAGCTTTTCATGAAATTCTCCATAAACGGCACACGCTGCCAGATGGAATAAACCTATAAATCTAGATGCCTTTTTCTGCCATTAAACTTTACTTTCACCTTGGTTGTTTGGATCACATCAGTGAAACACGTAAAACATGTGAATACTCGTCCTGGGTAAGACGTTAAACTACACCCGGCATCCTGGGTAAGACGTTAAACAACATCCGCGTCCTGGGTAAGACGATAAACAAAATCCAGCAGCAAGGCCTCTGATCAGGAATTTTTGAATAGAGTGAAACCACCTCTTAATTGCTATTGTTCCCAGGTCCATCCTATTAGCAGTAACTATTCGGGTCCCAGCTATGGGTAAATAGTGAAAGGCCAAACAAAAGCCAAATAGTATTAAAGAAAAAAATACATTTTTATAGTAAAAATACCAGCAATACAGTTCATATAAAAATTGCCAGAAATACGTATAGTATACTAACCAAAATACGTATTTAAAACAAAATGACCAACAATTCATTTTATCTGGAGCTGAAGGCATCCAAATGCTTTTAAAGTATATTTAATTGAAGCCATAAAATTGTGTTCAAAATATTTAGATTTCGACATTAAATAACCCACGGAGATTTTGATATACCGCTAAACAAAATCAACAAATCAAACCATCAACATGAAAGAACTTTTTCATGACATTAATCTATATAATATCCTACAATTTCTTAAAGAAATTAAATTGTATTCAAAAATATAACTTCAACAAAACTAAAACATGAAACTCACATATCACCGCTCGTCCTGGGTAAGACGTTAAACTACATCCGCGTCCAGGGTAAGACGATAAACTACATCCAGCAGCAAGGCAGGAGGTTTTGAGGAGCGTGGAACCACCTCTTAATTGCTGGTGTTCCCAGATACACCCTGACCCGGGGTGGTAGCACTTGTTAGGGTCCCAGCTATGGGCAAATAGTTAAGTATTACCAGCAATACTTTCTGAAAAAAAATTACCAGCAATACAATTTTGAAGGAAAAGTATTTCCAGAAACAGATTTTTGACAAAACAAAATATTACCAGCAATAAAAAATTTTGTCAGCATTAAATAACCCACTGAGGTTGATATGCCGTAAAACAAAATAAACCAAATCAATCTAAACCAAAAAATACATATTGTATTCATACGAATCTATCATAAGAATGTTGTCAGCATTAAATAACCCATTGAAATTGATATGCCGTAAAACAAAATAAACCAAATCAATCTAAACCAAAGAATACATATTGTATTCATACGAATCTATCATAAGAATGTTGTCAGCATTAAATAACCCATTGAAATTGATATGCCGTAAAACAAAATAAACCAAATCAATCTAAACCAAAGAATACATATTGTATTCATACGAATCTATCATAAGAATGTTGTCAGCATTAAATAACCCACTGAGGTTGATATGCCGTAAAACAAAATAAACCAAATCAATCTAAACCAAAGAATACATATTGTATTCAT